AGAGATTTTATGCGAATTCCCGCTGTCTGGGGGGTGAGCTGAATGACACCAACCTGTTTTGATGTTGAACTCTGAAGGAGAGTGGCTGTGTATCCTTCAGCTTTACCGGATGGTGGCCGCTGACTGCCTCAGTGGAGTGTCCGCTGTGGGGGATCTCACTTTCTTATTAAGGATTGCTTTGGCTATTCTGGGCCTCTTATTTTTCCAAATGAATTTCATGACTGCTTTTTTTATTTCTATAAAGAATGTCAATGGGTTTTTAATAGGAATCACAATAAATCTGTATAGCGTTTTTGATATTATGGCATTTTGACAATATTAATTCTTGTCTATCCAAGAACATGGGAGATCTTTCCATCTTTTAAGTTCTTCAATTTCTTTCTTTAGTGTTCTGTTGTTTTCATTGTATAGGTCTTTTCACCACTCTTCTTAAGTTTTTGATTGTGTTTGGATGGGCTTTTTTGTTTTGTTTTGTTTATTTTTTAAGGCTGTTGTGAATGGGATAATTTTCCTAATTTCTCTTTCAGCTGATTCTTCTTTGGTATAGAAGAATGCAATTGACTGATGGCTGTTAATTTTATATCCTGCTACTTTGCTAAATTTGTTTATGAGTTCTAGAAGGTTTCTCATAGAGTTTTTGGGTCTTCCAAATATAGGTCCATGTTGTTGGCATATATTTAACTTTTTGAAGAACAGCCACTCCTTTCCAAAGCAGTGTAACCATTTTACATCCCCAATTGTAATTTCAAGGGTTCTTATTTTTGTACATCTGTACTAACACATCCATTTTATTCCTAACCACTGTTGATTTTAGGAGAATTTAAAAAATGACAAAATCCTTTATAATTCTTTTTTCTGAATCTATTCTGTACTTTCTTTGGTTAAGTTTTTAAAAGTATCATATAGGAATCAGTCATGTAACAGATAGGAAAAGGTAAGAGAAAAGTAATAGAAATACAAGGGGGAAAATGGCAAGATAAGTTGGAATCGAAAAATTCATCACAGTGTGAATCTTTATATTAAAACTTTTTCCATTTAAAAAAAGTATCATTAAAATCATGCCCAAAGTGACATGATTTGGTTATTAAAATATTTTCTATAAATAGGTACTAAAATAAATGTTTGCTTATTAAACTAATACTCCTGGTTGAGGATGTAGCTCAAGGGTGAAGCACTTACCTAGCATGCATGAATCCTAGGTTTAATCCTTAGTACAAAAAAAAATTRTATACCAAACTAATACTCCTTATTAAATAGAGTAAACTTCCTCATGAGAAAACTAAAGATGTAGTCTTCACCAATGAGCAGCACATTTTGAAATGATCTATGAAAGGGCAGAACACATTTCTGAAAAACAGCACTATTATATTATTCGTCTCTACCACAGTACCCTCTCTTTTTATCTTGGTGTCCCAGTTGAAGACAATATAAGCAGAGAGGTAGTACAAAATAGAAAATGACAATACTCTGATAAGCAGGATAAAGAACCAAACAGGATTTCTATCACCAAGTCCTTACCCAGAAGTTCTCAGGAATTATTCCTTTTCTTACTACAAAGCTCCATAATTCAAACTACTTTTCTCTTCTAACTTTATACTTAACCCACACTAATCTCTCAGTATTATCCTTTCTCAAACACTGGCTACATGATACGGTGCATTCTTCCCAGTTTTCTGAAGATGGCCTCAAAAGTACTTTTCATCAGTAATGGGAAACTTAATCTGGGAGACCAAGTAACAATAAATTAATTAAGTTAAATTTTTTTAAGAAACTGGAAATAGTTCCTGTAGTAATTCATGGTCTTTGATTCCTAACTTTTAACTACAGATCTATTTAATCAATTCTTGTGGTAAGTTCCAGTATCCTGAATTTTTAAAAGTGACTCTTATATAGCCAGTCTGACTATAGACTTTGGATGACTAGTAATATTTGATTTTTAATGCAGATGATAATTTGACAAACCTTGATATTCAACCTTTTACTTAGATTCCTAAGAGTGGAATTACTAAAGCATGCAAGCTCTCTCTTGCTCTCAGATCTGTCTTCACTCTCTTTTTCCCTAGTGTACATGCACAGATGCCTACACTCATACACACACTTAGCTCTTCTGTAGGGGCTCAGACCCAGGAAACAGATCCTGAATCTATTCTACACTTTCCCAGCAGGTAGAAGATGCACGACACAGTTAGGATAGTAGACATGTCTTATTCATGGAACCTCTAGCTGGTTCCATTTTGCCCTAGTCAGTTCTATTTAGCACATCACAAGTCTTTTCCATAGGCCCTTTTATATGCAGGCCAAAGAAGGCGCAGTGCCAACAGGTTGCATAAGTGGGCATGTGCTCAGAAGCAAAATATTTATAATCTTGAATAAATACACTGAATCAGGTAGTTTCTGACCTTGACTACACACTGACCATAACATAACTGATTCATGTCCTTAGTTACACACTAAAAATATAACAATAGCCTTTCAGAAGCCTCAGCAAGGTATCCTAACTACAGCCATTTTGGGCCTGCCCCAACACATGTGCACATACTCTTGGAGGAAAGTCAAGCAAACTCTTTCTCCTGCTACTTTCTTTTTTTCTTTTTTATTTTTTTAGTTGTTAATGGACCTTTATTTATATGMAAAGCTGAAAAATGAACCCAGTGCCTCACATATGCTAGGCAAGTGCTCTACCACTGAGCCACAACCCCAACCCTCTCCTGCTACTTTCTTATCTGAAGAGTCAAAGCAGGACTGTAGGCTCTTCCTTATATCATGATGGTCCTCTGTGCATCAGATTTTCTAGTCTAGGCATTCCCAACCTCTGGCCAGGAATCTCCTTCCTCAGATGGTACACAGTTCCCCTATTACATGACCATGAAATCAGAAATTGGATTCTGAACAGCTGTTTCTATTGCTTATAATATAAAGTTTCTTACTATTAATTTCTTTCTAGAAATCCTGATTTTTCTTTCCATTAGATATTTTGGAAACATTAAGGCTAATTTGAGAATTCTGGAGGTACCAGCTTCTGTCTACTTTAGTCTCGTCCTAGTACTCTACAGGCAGGACCCAGTTGGTGAACAGCTGTAGGCTGCTATTTGGACCTCCTTGATTAGGATTCTTTCATACCTATTTTAAGGTACTTGTCCGAAATCCAAAGACCTAACAAGTAAGAAAAATTTTAAATTCTTTAACCCTATTATAAGCAAAGCATTCAGGAGACAATTTTTCTCTTTCTGCATGTCAAAATGTGATGGTTAAGGGTCTGAAACTGTGAAGACCATAAAGTCTAAAATAAAAAAATAATTGCATAGCTTTCATCAGCACACCTGAGATCATAAGCATAATCTGTTCTCTTATGCTTTTGATGATCACAGTCTTCATAACAAGTGTTTTTTTTTTGGGGGGGGGGGAAGGAAAATTAGAAAGAACTATTTACTTTTTGCATAGCTAGGATTACCATGCATCCTGGTTTGACCAGAACAGTCTCTAATTGGTGTAACTATTTGTAACACTTACACTTTTAGAAGTACCTTGTTTAGATGGCCCAGTATAGAAACCAGCCAAATTGGTATTTAAGAAAATAAAATTTGGATAATGGAGAAAGAGAGAAACTTTCAGTTTCATTTACTTTTATAAGAAGTATATAGATTCTAAGATATTTTGCAAATAGTCAAATCTTTTTTAGCATTTTTTTATTTATATATGACAGTGGAATGCATTACAATTCTTATTGCACATATAGAGCACAATTGTTCATACTCTGGTTGTATACACAGTATATTCACACCAATTCTTGTCTTCATACCTGTACTTTGGTTAATAATATAATGATCATTAAATTCCACCATCATTAATAACCCCATGCCCCCTCCCTTCCCCTCCAGTCCCTCTGCCCCATCTAGAGTTCATCTATTCCTTCCTTGCTCCCGCTCCTGTCCCTCTATGAATCAGCCTCCTTATATCAAAGAAAACATTCAGCATTTGGTTTTTTGGGTTGGCTAACTTCACTTAGCATTATCTTCTCTAACTCCATCCATCTACCTGCAAATATTCTTTTTTATTGCTGAGTAATAT